CCGACTAATTGGCAATAAATAAAATCGTTCGCGGCCATTAATTACCAACCACGTAAAGCGAGGGGGCAGTCCCGGTAAGACCTCTATTATGTAGATTAATAAGACGATGGGCCAAAGCCGGGCGCTGGAGACAAAGAAGTCCGAGCAAATTTGTTTACCTAACGTCTCAGAAGACGTGAAGATGCATCGTAACTCTCCTCAAGCACACGAGTATTAAAATTACCCATGAAGATGAAGAAGAAGAAGCCACCGTCGTACTCATCAACAAAATATGCATTCTTTTCATCCGCGCGTTATTATTACCTGCCCCGGCGAGCTGAGAACGAGAGACGCCGCGCGCCTACCGAGCTACTGTATTTAAATTTAAATTCTTATTATGTGTTTGAAGAGTTATGGGAAAATTTATTATCCATACTTTATGTGCGTAGGGATGGATGTTGGCAATCGGGCGTCACGCTCGCACTCGCAGGACGACTCCCCAGGCGTGACGGCTTCGCGGGCCCTTTCCTGCACAATGCGCCTCGTTTATGGCGTGTTTCTTTCGTGCGCTTTGGAGTAATGTTTAATTTTAAATACCGGACAAGAAGAGGCGCGCGCGTTGCAAAGGCGTGTATTTCAGTATTCAGTACATCTAGGAAAAACGTGCGCAATAATAAGTAAAATACCCGTCGTCAGCTAATGCCTCCAATTGATGCCAGCAGCAGGAAGAAGGCCTACTAGAAGATGACTGCATTCAATCGGCGTCTTAAAAAGTGTTTCCTAATCGTTTGCGCGTTCGCATGTCGCGCCTGCGAACCTGCGACCCGAAGCAATCGTTAGTTTCGGAATCGCGGAATTAAGAACAAAAAGTAAAAATTCAAAGTGAAGTTGACGGCCGAAAAGGATATCCGTTCGGAATTGTATTATGATGAGAGAGTTTTCGTGCCGGTCATTAGGAATGGCGAAGATGAGACTGAGGAGTTCTTCTTGGATGAGTAGAGCAACGACGCAAAAAGAACTAAATAGAGAGCGCATTAATGTACGCGCGAATATAATTGTTTCCACGGCCTGCCTCTAATGCCACTGTTGCAGCATGAATCACCTTTATTGTTCCTATTATAATTACCGTCGAGAGTTCAATACGAAATTGTGGAATAAAAGTGAAATGCCAACGACGGAGAAGAAAAAAAAAACGAAATCTCGAACTACAAACCAAATTGAAGATAAAGATGATCCAGGAACTGTAGAAAACAAGTGTAAATATTATGCGCATGTAAATTTTCTAAGTAAAGTGTCCATGATTACTCGATAATAATACCGCATGACACACTCAACCTTGAAAGAGTGTATCCTATATCAATCTACCTGCGCGGAATGCATGCAAAGCATGATTCATTGTCATACGCCGTCCGTTTTTATTGCGGTTTTTAATTCCATGCCGAATGAAATAACCGTGCGCGATGTGTACACAACAAAACGCGATCGGCGCGCAGCGCACAGCATCGCGAGGTATTTTGCGATCACGCTCTCTGTCGTTGCACAATACACGGCTCGTAATTATCGGCGCGCAATTACAGTGCATTTTACGCAACAGCGCCGCATTGCATCGGAATTGGAAGAGCGGTTGTGTGTGTCCTTGCGATTCCTTACAGCAACAATCATCATCGGCGCATCGTCTCCTTCTAATGCCTGCTGCTGCACACACAACATATTTGCGCGATTACGTAAACGCTTAATTCAATCGGCGCGATTTGCTGCTCTCGTGTGCATACATATCCGTTTGCGCAAGTCGCAATCGTTTTCAATTTTATTGGTCCATTAACGAATAAAATACGATTATTGAAAAGTGCCTCGCTATTTACGGCGCGCGAATTTCATTTCACACATTAACCATATTAGACGGAAAAAACACGTTATGAGCCGTAAATTGAAAAAATTCGAGAGTGAAAAAAAGCCAGTGCGGTTAAATACCAAGAGGCACGAATCTAGTTTGAAGATGAATTTCAATTTTGTTGCGTAGTTTAGTATATTGAGAGGCAATTTCACACCGAATTAAAGCCCGGCACACCGATTCGATAAGTTTTCATCGATTGGCCGTCATTATACCGATGCCGTTTCATTTTTTTTCTCCTCGAGCTTCCTCTGCGTGTACTGCTGTGCATTGTGGTTTTTGCGCTCGCTTTCGACTTGCGTTGCACGGCTATTGAAAACATTGGAAAATGGAGCAATTAACACGTCACATTGCGCTCTGCATAAGTCTGCTATCGACGCCGCCGCCGCCACGAAATAGTCGGCTTCCTTCGCCGTTGTGTGTCGCACGATTTCATATTCAGTTAGCAAACACGGCGCAAATAAATTACGCGTGTTTAAAATGTTTTCCAACTTCGTGCTGTGCGTTCATCCGATGCACGAATAAAGAACGCTCTCTGTTCGCACGTCCGCGCGCGTATCGAGGTTGTTGGCGCTTCGGGTATTTGGCTTTGAGCAGTCACGTCTTGGCTCGTCTTCGGCCACATTTCTTCGCGAGTGCACACCACGCTGCTGCTGGCAGGGTTTCGACCCTTTAAATGTATGGCACTCATTAAGTCCTTTGAGATTCAGCAAAATAATTATGCACGCATATCCAGCACACTCCTCCCACTGGCTGCAATAAAACGATTCGCAATGTGCGCCATAAATACGCGATGTGTTCCAAACACACGCTGTGTAAACAGTTGTTTATTTTACATCTGCCGCGCCAATTCCAGCGAGCGAGCGAGCGAGCGACGCGCACGTTTTTGTAAATTATTATATTAATACGGTTTAATCTCTGTATTCCCAGTTGGATACGATTCATGGAAATTCCGCAGCGAGGAGATTTTTCGATCTTCCCGGTGCCGTATTGACCGAAGGGATTCTATCGCCCATCAGCGAGCCAACAAGATAATTGTAAACAAATGTTAAGCTTAGTGCGAGCGTAATTCGATGTAGCTAAGGTTTACGATTTACGAAATTACAGAGCACGCAACGCAATGCACCACGGGCAGCACGAAGGAAATGCACCAGCGTCGGCGCGCGTAATGATTGTGAGAACGAGAACAAAACGCGCGCTCTTGACCACGGCGGGGATCCTCCTGCACGGCGCGGTGTTAATATCACTGCATTAAAGTTCGAACATAATGATTGTGTGTGTGCATCATGTCGGGCGCGTACAATTGGCATTCGCTTTCGGCTCTCCGAGAGTCATCCATGATTGTTTTTTTTTTCCTCTCTCCTTGCGCACACGCATGTGTGTTCTCAGCTCGTAAATCTCGCCCGAACAGAGGTGTAGTTGTAACAAGCGATAGGAATCGAGGAACGCGTGCGGTCCCTAATCGATCAACGCACAATACTAATGCGTTGTTGCGTCGATAATTACGTATGCCGAAGATGATTCGATTCCGACAGGCGTCGACTTTTTTCTCGAGGGGCCAGCGCGCGCATGATTAAACGGTGTTTCAACAATAATTTAGATGTGATACTGTTTGTGAAAACGGCGCAATGTTAGCGCGTTTTGGCGTCACGCCAACGATTCCCAACTATTAATTAAATCGATTGGTATTTTGTCATTTGTGAAATGAATTTAACATCCGTTCGGTCGAAATTATACGGGAGAATAATTTATGAACGTCGAATCAAACCGAAATTGTTTTTCCAGCCAGCTGAATTTAGTCCGGCATAATCAAGTTTATTTATTAGAATCTGCTCAGCCTGGTAGCTGAGAGAGAATTATGAAAATTTGCGCCGTACGAATGTTTGTTCGGCGAGAAAATTTCGACATTCCCAAAGTCAACACAGCGCGCGCAGGAGACGACAATGCGAAGTTACAACTTTAATTTTAAAGGCTAGAACTATTATATTATCTTGATTTTCTTTGATAAACGGGCGCGGACCGCGTCTTGACCGCATATTTTCGCAAAATAAACTTAATAAACTCGCCCGGCAACTCCACTCAAACTTCTTGTTCTGTTAGCTTCGACGTAAAACTTGGCCACGCCGAGTTCCCGACATAGTTGCGAAAGTCGCTTTAAAATTTTAATAAAACTTTTGTAAGAGCCACAAAACAAAACTCGCATAAAATACTTTCATTATAAAAATAGCTCTTCGAAGCGAAGTTGTTCTGCGGCGACCCTTTCATTACCAGCGCGCGGGGGCGCTCTTGTTTTTCTGTTGCGAATTGAGCGAATTGTTCGCAAAACGGCCGTTAAACGTTATCAACATTTAGTGGTGGAACGACACGAGCACGGCGTTATCGCCGGCGAGCACCAAACTGCTGGCGATATTAACGTCGCCATTGTGCCGATTCGTAACCGGCCGGCAATCAAGATACATTAATATTTTGTTTATTCTCCAAACTGATTTTCGCAGCCGCACAATCGAACTCGATAAGGGAAAGGAACTGGCGTGCATTATGCAAATACAATTTCTACACTTTTATTGTGTTGTGGTACGGCGACGGCCCATATTATGACTGAATTCCGCGAATATTTACGAAAGCATGCATGACAATTGGTCATTAAATCAAAACTGACGAAAAAAAGTTGGGAGTATGCACACAGTGTACGGAGAGAGTGGGTGACGAATCGTGCGAGTCTCTTCTTTCTTCTCTTGCCCACCCGTGGCCCAGATGCTCGCCGGGAATTGAATCAAACCGATTCATAATCAAAGTCGTTTGCAAGCAAGCAAGCAAGCAAGGATAGAACAGAACTCAAATTGGATTTATACTTTCGAGGTGTCAGGAGACCCAAGGCAAGTCGTCGCGCAGTGTAATAGTTTAAATTAGAAAAGTTAGGAAATGCGTCGATTAATAGCTGGCGTTTTTTTTTTTTTTTTTTTGGAGCGCAAAACCATAACTTTGGCCAAGAGCATTAGAATTATTAATGCGGCGTGCTCTCGCTCGGAAAAACAACGTTTTGTAATCACGCGCTGAGTAATTGTAGTCAAGGCCCGCGCACTGCTAATGTTTGTTGTAGCGCGGAAAGGCAAAAAAAAAAGTCACTCACCTCCAGATTAGTCAAAATTGCCTTGCAGTTGGTCACAGGCACGGAGTCAGACACCGTGACCACCAATTCCTCGTAGGCACCGTTCTTCAATTCCAGGCCAGACACGCGGCTGATGTGCAGCGCATTGACGGCGAGCAGCAGCAGCAGGACGAAAAGTCCTTTCGTGGTGGCGCCCATATTCTGGCACGTTCTGCGGGCAGGTATCGCGTATAAACAAAGCTCAGCTGGCGCGCGCGTCCTAGACGGAGGACATCGCCGGCCGCACACAAATTGTTAGTTCAATACGCGCGCACTTGTGTCGGTGGTTTGTTTCCCCTATTATGCCTTCAATAATCCAGTATCTTATTTTATCGATTCCAGCACTTAGTCACTTAATTTTAAGTTTGTAGCAAGCGCGGTAACCATGGAAACACACTTATACGATATACGCAGGTTATGCACGACGCAATGACAAAGTTTATCGTACTTTAACGTACTTGCAGGTTGAAATTTTCGTACGGCAGAGAGACGACTACAACTCGCACACGTTTTACTGTCGGTGACGGCTGCGTTGCGCTTCGCCGGTTCGGCTGTTGACGTCGTCCGCACGCAGTACGCAGTTACGCGAAGTTTACTCTCGGCGGTAACGCTCCTAGGTAGCTGTGTTGTGCTGCGCACAGTACGAAACACCACAGAAGACTGAAGTTGCGGTGCGACGCGCTGCTGATGGTTCTCTTCTTGCGTGCTCGCGCGCCTACTCCCACTACTCACTACAGCCGCGCGCGCGTTTACAGTACTATGTTGGATACTCACAAGCAGGGAACGCGCACGCCGCGGTGAACGTAGAGTCGCGCGGCGTTACCTGCGATGCTCGGACGGATGCGGCGATGCAGAGACGAGTACGGCACCGGCGAGCGTAACGGCGGTAGCGCACCTTCGGCCTGCGGGGCCCCACCAAGCCAAAACCCAGCGCTTCTTTGATCGTCGTTCCTGCTCGCACACCTGCGCGCTGCAGCCTGAACGTACTTAGCACAATGAGTCGCGCTGTTCGAACGCATCAAACGGACCGGTTGGCGCTGCAATATGCACCTGAAAGAAAACATGAACTTGAGAACGTTTCATATCTTGTCGTCGTCGTGTGTTTTTTTTTCATCGTGCAAGCTTAAGCTTGAGCTAAGCAAACGCGCGCCGAGTGTGGGAAAGGTCGTTAGAGCTTTTTGTTTAATGAATTGCTCTTTCCTCGTTGTTTCTCATTGCTCATTTCTTCGGGAACACCTCGCGCGCGGATGCTGAAACTGAAAATCAACGCTCGAAAAACTCCGACAACGAAATAATCACGGCGAGCATTAGTTAATTTATGTTCGCATCGGCCAAGGTACGAGAAAAGGATGGGCAGGTAACCTTGATGGCTGGAGCTAAGCTATAAATTATCGCACTTGCCATGGCATGTTGCAATAACAACTTATTACTATGATTTGCATAATACTCGTGCTGCGGCGCAGTTTTTTTATTATTTTATTTTCTGTTTGTGACAATCTTTAAAACACAATAAATAATGCAATTGCACACGTCATGCGAGGCGTGGAGGTCTTCGGTGCTTGTTTAACGATTGCACCATTAACACCTCTCTCGCGGAAGAATCGAGCTTTTCTTCTATCTGCCGGTCGGAAAATTAGAAAGCGCCCGAGTGTACAAGATCGCTCAATAAGGAACAATGGGCGATAAAATGACTCACATATGTTTTACAACCGTCATCAACAATTACCCATTGTAAAAAGTGCGCTTGAATGTAGTCATTGATTCGGCGTTGATTTAATGCCGGCGGTGATTTTACAACTTTCGTGGGTTATACTCGACGAAAAATGTCCGAAAATGTGAAATTTCGAGCGCAACGAAAAACTTTCTGAACGCGAATTCGAGTCGGGTTGTGTTATATCGCATCGCGAACACTAATGAATTTCGATTTTAACAATCAATTCGTCACGGACGATTTACGCGTTCCATCATCGTGTCTTTTTATAATTTCGTTGGCGAGCCTGTTTATGAGGTTTCCTTTCATCCATCGCCGGCGCGCCATGAAGTGACAACGCGTCCAGCGAGTGTAGAGTTTCGAGAAGGACACATAAAAGCACGCGTGACTTATACAAACGTTTAACTTCTTGGAGGCGCGCCGAGGGAAAAAATTGCTTCTATTGGCGTGTAAACGATTTCAAAAAAGGCCTTTTTGTCCGCTTGCTTTTTATATTCATCGTGTGTTTTATTGCTGTCACGATTTCATGCAAGGTGTTGAAATGCAGCGCGCCGAGAATGGATTCTAATCCCCCCTGGAGGGCCAACCGTTTCAATTTACAGATTAATTACTGATTAATTGGGCGCGGAAGGACAATGGGACACGAGTACAAATTGAATTACATCTGCGCGAGCAGAAATTATCATTTGAATACGACGAACGTGATGCTGACGCGTCTTGATTGACACAATAAGGTGTGAAACTAAATAGGAAGAGACTTTTCTTGATTCGATTTGTACACCACTTTCCGCTCGCGCGCTGCGCTCCGTTGTCGTTTCCGTTAAAGAGGAAAGTTGTAAAGTCGCGGATTATTTGGAGCAAGCGATCGAAGTGACATTTGCGTTTCGAAAACAGCGCACATTGTGTTGTTGTTGGGTACATTTGTCCATGCATCAAAAGCAACCGTTTTTATTTCGGTTTGATTGTCATTGAATGAATCGTCACGAACGCGGGACGTTTTCTAATACGCAGCGGCGCGGACGACCGGCTGCACAATTATATTGTTCAAAATATTCCGCGCAATGGCGAAGCACAAATAATAGCCGTGCTGTGTCTATGTTTTTTTTTTCTTCTCTTCTGTGCTGCTTGAAGAAAGGCCGCCGTTAATTGCACGGCAAATTGTCTCCAGTTTGCGCCGCTCGACTTTTACTTGGGTTTACTAAAATTTATTATTAACAATTACGGTGGTTATTTATGTGCCGGTCTTGGCTGCGGACGCCGTTGATCTGCGTGTGCATTCTGCGGAGTTTTGTTGGCGAATGAGGGCGGAAAATTTCAGTTTAATTAAGATTTGTTGACATGAGACGCGCTTAGACGCACGCGAAGCAGAGAAGAAGAAGAGGAAGCACAACATGCACATACGCAGCATGAAACCCTTATTATGAGTTGAGTTTGTTGAAGTCGCCTGCGCGAATTATCGCAGTGTTCAATAAGTCGAATCAGGTGCATACAATTCACACATCAGCGCTGCTGCACCACACACTCTAATCATCAAAACAATAACTATTTCTATACGCAGCGATGAAAAAATGCAATGCAATCATAGCGACGATTTGCGTTGACTTTGAGTCTTATTACAACGTTTCACGGCGCATTGCCGGCGTTTCTGGTTAGACGCAAATCTAAACTTGAATCCAGCCGAGACAATTCGATTTTCGAACAGACTGAAAACTGCATATTGTGAATATGAAATGCGATCGGATTCGAGCGCCCCGTAAAGATTCGCGATAAAACTTTGCGAACTAAATGCGCCGCAGGACAGCGAAATATTTCATTTGCTTCGATTTTTCCGACTTCCGCAAAATACCTAAATACCTGCGAAGCACTATTTTCGCAGGTAAATCCAGCAGTTAATTTTCGTTCGGGCGATAATACGCAATCAACGTGCCATGACTTTTCCACTTCGACTTTGTACCGTTGGTTGGGTTCGTCTTGAAGAAATAATTACACACGTTGGTATTGCCTATTAGCATTTGAATTGCGTTAACCGTCGTTAAACTATCCATTTGCTTCATCGCCCCATGCTCTCCTGACGCATCCATCACACGTATGTGCATCAGCATGGGAGATGCGCCTTTCTCCGAACGTGTATGCATTTGGCTTTCTTTCACATCACATGCACACACAGCGAAACCTCTTTCACTAACGGCGTACACCACATATAGGAGAGTATTCAATCTGTTCGATAGGAAAATCACTTAAAATCAAGCGATTATGTGTGCTGGCTGAAATGCGCAACCATCATCGTTAAGTTTACAATCTTCACCGCGACTCGAGAACGCTATTTTACGCTACAAGTTATTACAAATATTGAAGAGGTTTCATTGACGTCGAGTGTAAATAGCAAGATTACATTTGCGATACACCCAATATGAGTCTATGAGATAAATTTATATGTTAGAATTAGGTACATAGAAATAATTTTCTAAACGCAGATTGGAAACGTGCAGGAATATTGCACCTTCGCGTACGTGAGTATCTCCAGTGTAATTTCACGCGGAAATTATAACCTCGAGCGAAAGGAGTGCAGTGCACAATCCAAGATTAAATCGAAGAGTCCTCAATTTCCACCTGAAAACTTTCCGGCGTGTCGACGAGGGCACTTGTTGTACTCTCGTCGGTCAAGTGCTCTGAAAGCAAGTGCCGTCTGTTTACTGTACTTGTCGCCGTGTTGATAAATAATTAATTAAGCCTATAGAAACATATTCTTCACGCGCGCCTCGGGGCGTGCTATTTGCGTGCGGCGGGTTGCTGTGTGCTTGAAGCGCTCACAACCCGAAATGTGCGCGCCGTGCGCACAATACACAATGAAATAAATAATTAATCGTTTCAGAGGTAATTAATGGCGTGCTCTATGACTGCCGCTGCACTTTACCACCGCGAGGCGAAAGGGGGGCCGCCCCTCACGGCCGAGATATGTATCACGCACCCGCTGCATACCAAACGTTACGCAAAACAACCCCTTCTGGTGGTGGTGGCCGAGGCACGGATCGGCTATTCAAACACACGCCGAGACAAATTACAAGCCATATCAGCGCTTTGTCAGATTCAATGGCGTGTGTAGTCCACGTGGGAAAGCATATCATTTGCCGGAACAGCCAGTCTAGCGACAACAATAACAACGTGTTCGACACCCCTATGAACCCGAATGATTCTATGAAAACAACCTCGTTGCGGACGCGCGTTATCACCGGAGCCTTCATTTGCATCTAACCGCTCCGTATTCATAGCGTTCGGGCATGGAAAACCTAAGGTAAATCACTCATTAAGAATTTATGCGGTTAAGTGTTTGCACACATGTTTAATTGAGTCCGACATGATTCAAAAGCGTGCGCTGGAATAATGTTATTGTCTCACAGAGAGAGAGTTTGTTCGCGCAGGTAAGTTAAACAGCAAAGAGAATTTTCGGACGTCGAGAATCTGATGGACACTTCCGACGTTTTATTTATGACTAATTGGATATTGCTGTTCGGAAAAAGGTCTGGAATTTAGTTTGCAAGGGCCGCAGGTACTCGAAATAAAAATCGCCGATGGAATTGGTGGCGCCGCGCCAGGTTCTTTGCGCCCGCTTTTACAATATTGCCACTTTAGCATTTTAACAACCCTTTTGCAACCCCTTTTACTCAACTATGCCAATGTAATTTATGAGCGTGATTGCCGTTGCCATTTTTCCACTGATTGTAAATCGCCTCGCGCGCACGCCTGCAAAGTGTACAATAATTGTAAACTACACGCCGAATTCGACAGCGACGGGTTTCGGTAATTGAATAAAAATTTCCACATTTATTACGCGCCAATAAATTTTTATTGAAATACCTGCATGCGTGCGTGTTTTTCAGCAACCCACTCACGTCCAATACGGAGGAATTTCTGCAACAAGCGACTGTTAATGTATTCGCAACGTGCAAATAACCGGATGTCTTTGATTTTGTTTCATAGCGATGAGTCCCAGGAACGTGCCTCACATTTTCCACACGAAATTATTGACTCTTGGTCATATTTACCCATAGAAAGAAAAAAAATAGAACCATTTATTCATGGAAAGTGATTTCCGGAATTCGGACAGTTCGTGTTGTCGTTAATCTAAGCAGAACGCAGCGGACATCAAAAGGAATGGGG